GAAGATCTTCCAAGACCCCAGCAGGCTGGAAAGTAAAGTACCTGCCCCCAGCATGAAGAATCACTATTGAAAGAGAACCTCCAGTGCTTCGTCATCTCCCCCATTGCATACCAAGACATCTGGCAGATGTACAAGGCCTTCTTTTGGACAGCGGAGGAGGTGAATCTTTCCAAGGAAAAGCACTGGGAATCCTTGAAGCCAGAAGGGAGATATCTTATATCTCATATTCTGACTTCCTTTGCAGTGAGTGATGGCCTAGTAAATGAAAACTTGATGCAGCAATTCAGCCAAGAAGTTCAAATTATGGAAACCTACTGTTTCTATGGCTTCCAAATTGCCATGGAAATTGCCATTCTGAAATGTATAGTCTTCGTATTGACACTTACATTAAAGATTCCAACGAAAGGGAATTTCTCTTCAATGCCATTGAAACAACTGGGCCCTGCATTGGATTGGGGACAAAGAAGCTACCTATGGAGAACATGTTGTAGCTTTTGCTGCTGTCGAAGGAATCTTCTTTTCTGGTTCTTTTGCATCACTGTTCTGGCTCAAGAAACATTTTCCAAAGAGCTTATCAGCAGAGATGAGGGTTTACACTGTGACTTTGCCTGTCTGATGTTCAAGCACCTGGTACACAAACCATAAGAGCAGAGAGTAAAAGAAATAATTACCAATGCTGTGAGCATACAGCAGTTCTTCACAAAGGCCTTGTCTGTGTGGCTCATTGGGATGAACTGTATTTTAATGAAGCAGCAGCCACATTGAATTTGTGGAGGATGAATTTGTGGCTGACAGGCTTATGCTCCAGCTGTGCTTTAACAGGATTTTCAGAGTAGAAAATCCATTTGACTTCATGGAAAATATTTCACTGGAAGGGAAGACAATTTCTTTGAGAAGAGAGTAGGTGAATATCAAGAGGATGGGAGTGATGTCAGATCCAACAGAGAATTCTTTCACCTTGGATGCTGACTTCGAAGTAAATTGAATGAGCTGTCACTTTGCTGATTTGTCTCCCCTTATTAAAAAAAAAAAAACTCAGTAAAAATGATTCAACTGGCTACACCATAAATTGACATTAACTTCATCAATAGGCATCTGTAAAACTGTGTAGCTGCCTCAAAATCAGTCCTGTTAATACTGAGTGTCAACTAGAAAGAGCGTATTTAAAACAAAAGCTACTTGTATTCTTAAGGGAAATCTTGGCCTGTTGACTTTCGCAAGTAGGTGGGCTGGATATGATGTCCTCATAGCACATGGCAGCTATCCAGCCTCTACTGTGGGGCGACTCTCAAGTGAGCAGAATTAAACATCAGATATTACCACAAAGCAGTTTAAAGATGTTAGCCTCATTTGCTGCTTCCTGAAAACTGTATAAAGGTTACCCAACTAGTTTGTAAATAAAACTGGCACTTTTCACACACAGTACTGTCAAGGGGAAAGCCTGGTTTATTTGGTTTCTATATTAAGTACAAAGTGTTTTATTTACCACTAATAGCCCATTCAAAATCTAAGTGACTAAAAGTTTAGTGTTGTAATCCCGTCATTTCTAAGCTTTGTTCTTTAATGAATTGAAATACCTTTTTAATTGACTTTGAAGGCAGTCCTTTGCATAGACAGATCTGTTGCCAGTCCTGCACCAGATGTATGTGCTGCCTGTAGCCCAGATTTAGGGCTAGGGCATCTCCTGTAGCTCAGGTTTAGGGCTAGGGCATCTCCTGCCCCAGCAGAGGTGACCTTGTAACTTTAAGTCACTAGAAATTTAGACATGACTTAAGGCATTTGCTATAAGTGGACCCGTCTGAATTTGTGTGAAGGGCGGTAGTATTCATCTTTAAGTTGTGCTTTGCCTCATTTGTAGTTGGTATGGAAAGAGTCTTGGATCAAATCCTTGAACCATCTTGACCCACCTAAGATCTTGATCCTGTTCTGTGGTAAAGCCAAGACTGAAATTGGTTCTCCTAAAGTTGGGCTGATTCTCATTTTGCTTGAGTAGGTACTGTTGAAACTTAATTCACTTGCATTTATTCCATGTCTCTTAAGTTAGAAAAGTGGTTTTTTAAAACTATATGTCCTTTTATTAGATTTTACTTGTTTATACCTTTAAAAATTGCCTGAAGTTTGCGAATGCTGAGAGACATTACTATAAATTCTAACATTTGCCTAAATATGAGTGTCACTTGGTGATTTTTTTTAATCAAAAAAATTTTTTAAAGACAAGGTCTTAACTATGTAACTCTGGCTTGGCCTGGAACTTGTCTATGTCTCCCGAGTGCTGGGATTAAGGTGTGTGCCACCATGCCTGACCAATGGACCAAAGGACCAATGGACCAAAGCTGATTTTGTCCAACATGTTTTTCCTGGGGTATGGGCACTGTGTTCTGTGTGTACAGATAACTCCCAGCACATCCCTCTACTCTTAACACTTCCATATCACCTCTGACCTTCAGAAATGACCAGTATTTGAATTTTTTTTGAAAGAAAATCTTTTATTGTTTTAATAAATATTTTGTATAAACAATTAGCATTTAAAAATTTTGTGAAACACTAAATATAGAGACATTATTTAATACATTTTAAGATGTTTAGAGCACCTAAGTTTTTTGTTTTGTTTTGAATATTTTATTATTTTCATTTTCTTTAGAAGAAGCATTTCATTACAGCTTTAACATACTCAGTAACAGTTTTCAGAGCAAAGATACATCTCTTTCAAAAGTGGCTATAAAATTTTTAGGTTTGCTGTTGAATTAATACAGTTATACAATATTGTACTCTGTCTAAATCCTATAAGACATAAAATTGAATTAGTTTTTAACCTTTAAAAAAGATCTCCATTTCATTTTAAAATATACTGTTTCTTACAGAAAGACTCATTATTTTTGCTAATAGCACGGAGATGTTGGTGCATGCGTCTCTAATCTGTATGTATCTGATTATTACTAGTCATAATTGGTTGTACTCGGATCCTTAGCACCTGTGTATGTCTATAAAGTCAATGGGTAGATTTCAATGATAATGTTTATCACCTCTACTAATTAACATGACATAAATTTTTATGCTTCCTCTTCAAATATAATTCATTTAAAAAAATTTGTTGATTTTTTTTGTGTGTGTATCAGTATTTGAATATTAAAGGGCCTTTGTCTATATTGTTCACTGATGAAGCAAAAAAACAAAACCAAAAAACAAAAAAACCCCACTCTTACCAGCTGGTTTTCATGCCAAAAACTGGTCATATTAGCTCATGTGAAGGACAGGTCAATACATGTCACATCTGACAATCTCTGGAGTGGTATTTCCTTATCTGCACATTAGTCTTTGTAATCTCTGTTCTTGCAGGAATTTAAAACATTCTCCTCAAAAGAACTTCAGTTTCTTCACATATAACCTACTATCTACTAAAGAGAAACATCTTTACTTCTTTATAAACATTATAAACATTATACTGGTTTATAATGGAGAAATCTGGAGGACACCTCCTTACCACAGCTATAATTAGTACAGGATATCTGAGACCATGTTTAAGATTTAATATTCTCCTCCATAGGAAACAATATGACAAGTACCATGGAATGGATGACAGAGTCCTGCCATCAGATCAAGCCCCTGAGGCCTCTTTCCCTTCCAGCTCAAATTCTACAGCTAAAGAAAGGTTAAACCATGCTGAGAGAACAAAAAGTCAGACAAATGGAGAAACTTCAAAAAGCAATGCTGGGGCTGGAGATGGCTCAGTGTTAAGACTACTGGCTCCTCTTGCAGAGGACCTGGGCTCGATTCCCAGCACCCACATGGCAGCTAACAACCATCTTCAGTACCAGGAGATCCTACAACCATCTGTAACTCCAGTACTAGGAGATCTTATACACTCCTCTGACCTCAGTGGGCATCTCATGACATTGGTGCACTTACACACATGAAGGCAATACATTAATACACATAAAATAAAAATAATTTTTTAAAGCATTGCTAAGAAAATAAAACAGGTTGTACTACATCGACTTTCAGCTTTTGAGTCCTAAAAATGAAAGTGAACTAGTCTTGATTACATCATCTTTCTAAGAAACCAATATATGACTTTCCAGCAACTGGAAAAACGAATACGGTGTCACTACTAGGTGATATTATTAAATTACAGTTTCTTAGGTATGATGCTGTTGTTGTGGTGATGTGAGGCCAAATTGCTTACAGTCCTCAAGACAAGAAACCAGAATGAGGAGTTGTTTTTCGGATGGCCTATTTCAGAGGCCTTTGGGTGCAAAATAAGAATTTTTATTTTTTGATTGAAACTCCACCACCCAAAGTCTGGGAAGCAGAGCCTATGTAAGCAACACGCAGCTCTCACGCCCTCCTCTACTCTAGGGAGGCACCCTTTGGGTGGGGACGACTCAAAGTGGAGCTGATCAAATGTCCAGATCAATGGACGGTTTCTAAGTAGTTTCTGGGGGAACGCGCGCCTCCCTGGCCCTCCAGTCCATACAGACCATGGGAACCCTAAATGTCCTCACCTTTTCATTCCAGGCACTCCTGAAAGAAAAATGCGCCCTTCTTTTGAGAGAGTAAAGAATTCCTGCCAAGGTTTCCCACTTCCCTAATCAGCCTATGATGAAAAACCCTGCCTGGAGGCTGTGCAATTTCGCAACGCGGGAAAAGGTAAGGGGGAAGAAGAAGAGGGTCTTAAGCAGGCATCCATGCCAGTGTGAAGCCTGTGATGGAGCTGCCGCGACGGAGACGCCTGCATCCAGCCAGCCTGACACCCCAGGATTCGCCGAGCTGTGCTACAGGGGGCTGACCCAGAGCGGGGCGAGCGCGCAGGGTGGCGGGCTGCCTGACCCGCCCACGAGTGCGTGAGGGGAGCTCCGGGATGCGCGCGCCCGGGTGTGCGTGCAGCTGCGGGGAGGGGGGCGCGTGTGCGCGCTCGGGTTGCGAGCGCCGTCCGCGTCACAGCCGATGCGCATGGTGCTGCTCCCGGTAGGTGAGTGCGAGGCCAGGCGAGGCCGGACGCAGGGCGGCAGGCCGGGGAAGGGCGGCCGCGGGGTCATCGGTTCTGGGGACCAGTCATTCCCGGCGCATCCCACCCTCCGCTCCACGGCACAGCGCGGCATCGAGAACCGCCACTCTCAGTGCTCGGACCTCCGCGGCGGGCCTTCCCGGGGCGCGCGACTGGGGACCCCAGGAGACCCGGAGGGGTGTGAGCGCGCGTGGTGGGCCCGATCGCTGCCGCACCTCCTTCATCCGCCCTGCCCCGGGGCGCTGTCCAGCCCTGGGGGCGGCCTGGTTGTCGCCGTGGCCCTTGGAGTAGAGGGGATCCGTGTTGCCGCCTCGGTGGACCTGCCACAGGCCTAGGCGGAGGAACGCGGAAAAGGGCCATTGACCCCTAGGGTAGGAGAGTGCTTCCTGGGCTGGGGTGGGGAGGAGGAGGGACCTGAGGAAGGGAATGGGAGGATAGGAAAGAGGAGGAAACTCCCAGGGATCAGGGCTCCTGGTTAATTAAGAGATCTTAACCAACTGGCAAAGCATTTGAAAAGAAATCTTAACCTCTTAACCACGGAGAAGCTTCACTTTCCAGCAGTAAAGAATGACAGCAGCAAGCACTGGTGGTTGTTTTTGGTATTTCTGGTGGCTGGGCTAGAAGAAAGGGTATTTAACAGGTTTGATTTATAAGCTGGGTAGGTTGTATTTTGCACTGAGTGCCAGCCTTTAGGAGGTGGCTGCTTTATTAGGAAAAGCTACTGCCAAGGAAGAAATGCATTTGTTTTCAGACGTGGGAAGATTGGAGTTTGCAGTCTTCACAGGGGAACAGGTTTTGTGTTTAGGTCTCCCCCCAAGTGTTTCAGACAGATGAAGGGAGTTTGTGCTGATGGCTTTACTGAACTTCCATCACTCTAGAAAAGGGAACTACCCAATGCCTAGAGAAGAATCTGTAGCTGTGGAGGTTTCTGTTGTTTTTTTCTCCCTTAGATTGAAAGGTTCATTCAAAATGAATGGCTACTGGGTAACTCTAGCACTGAAAAGAGTCTGTTACCAAGACAGTGCCCAGGTAGAATTCTAGATTAGGACACAGGATGTTTAGAGAACAGGGAGGTAGAGGCCTTTTCAGAAATGAAGTGTGTTGATGCATAGTAACTTGCCCTGTAGCAGTTTGCCAGGTGTGGAACATTGGTTTTACCTGTTAGAGGGTCGATGTTATGATCTTTTTTATGTTTAACATTCAGTAGTTCTCAGAAGATCTCTTTTCACTAAAGCACAGAATACATAAAAATCACACACACACACACACACACACACACGCACTCAGCTAGTGATTTAACATCATCAGAAATTCTACATATTGATAGGTAAACGGGAAAAATCACCACTCAGAAGGACTCCAGCAAAAGCAAGGTTTATTGTAGAGGTAAACTCCAGGATTGAGGCGAATCCATCAGCTTTCAGGCTGCTGGCTGGAGGTATTTATAGGGGGTAGGGGGTGGGGAATGGGGAATGAGGAAGGGGGGGAATATTTTTTCAGGCAGCATCCTGTTTAACTTTTAAATTTATCTGGGGGAAACAGACTATACTGAAACTGACTCAATTCTTATTTTTGAGAGGCCCAAGGGCCTGTCTTGAAACTGACTTGATTCCTGTTTTCCAGGTGGAGCTCCCCTCCCCCTTATAAGGCTTTGCTGCACTGGGGGAGGGTTGTTGCAGACCTGGACTCTTAACACTTACTGGTTTGTCTTAGTTTTTATTTGAATTTATGCAGATTAGTTGAAAACGTCCATCATGGTTCTTTTTCTGAGTTTGGGTATTATTGACACAAGCTGCAAACTTAATTATAATATATTCTGGGGTGTTTGTTTCCCCAGAGGATTTGAAGAAGTGAAAAAATTAAGGGTTTGGATAATACATGTTTTTCTAAAAAGTTGAATTTTTATTAAAATACTGTGGTACTTCAGGAAAACTTGATAAGTATATACCTTTTAATTTGGTGAGTCATCTTCAACTCCAAGTTCGAAGTCAAACTTCTTTATCTGTAAGAAAATGCTTCACAGGATGCTTTAATTTCCCACTGGGGATGAGTAATTTATCTTCCCCCTATGCCCAGCCTCCAGCTCTTCTCTGTCTACCCCCTGGATAATACAGGTAGAATCTCATTTAGGAAATGCCTTTATACTTTTCACAACTATATAATATGTAGGACAAGGGGGCTGGAGAGATGGTTCAGTGGTTAAGAGCACTGGCTACTCTTGCAGAGGACCTGAGTTCGATTCCCAGCATCCACCTGGCAGCTGACAACGTCTGTAACTCTAGTTCCAGGGGATCCGATCCCTCTTCTGACCTCCAAGGGCATTGCATGACACAGGTGCACCTGCCTACATGCAGGCAATACACTCATATATATTTAAAAAAATAATGTCCAGGACAAATACAATTTCTTGCTGAAGCTTTTGTGGCTGTTGATTAAATGGCTTGCAGTGTGGTAGGCCTCTACTATATGGTAAAGAGCCACATGATATAGCCTCCTGGGTAAGGTCAACAGCCTTATGGGTAAGGTCAACAGGATGATCAAACAGAATACTCTTAAATGAGCTTGCAGGACAGATGCCTTCAAAGTTGCGGTTCAGTGGGCTGTGACATCTCTTTCGAGGTTGTGGGAAATGATTTTACTTTAATAAAAGTTTTATAAGTATTTACTTACTTGATTTACTTTCATTAGTAGGATTCTTGCTTTATTGTGAATTTGAGGAAAAGCTAAAATAAGGGTATGAAACCAAGGCCCAGCCTAGGAGCTGTAGAATGGAAGCCCTTGAAGCCCTGAGATCGTAAGGACTAAAACTAGAAAGCCAAAGCAGATTTTAAATGACCTATGTCACATGTGCCTGACCATGAACATAGTTGATTATGAAGCCAGGCCTCTGGCCCTCCTGTGTCTACAGCCCAGGTAATAGTTACAAGTTCTGCCTACCCTCTGGGAGCTATTTCATGTAAGGAACATGTTATTGGTTAGACTAGGATCTCCTTTTCAATAGTATGACTCTCTGGGTCATGAAAAATCTTGGACACTTTGTTGATATTCTGATATGTATCATTTCATGAGACTAGAGCAAACATTTGCAGGATGGTTGATGGATGTAGTCAGATCCTTTGGGCCTGAAGATTCTGTATCTATAGATTGCACTAACGATAGACAAAAAAATATTCAGAAAAAATAAAAGTACCTGGAGCTGGAAGATGGCTCAGTGGTTAAGAGCACTACCTGCTCTTGCAGAGGACCTGGGTTTGTCCCAGCACCCACATGACAGCTAACAACTGTTTGTAACTCCAGTTCCAAGGGAATCCAGTGCCCTTTTCGGACCTCCGCAGGCATTGCACTTACATACATGTGGGCAATATATTCATACACTTAAAATAAAAATAATAAAATATTTTGTAAAAATGTGTCTGTACTAAAATGAACAGATTTTTTTTTAGTGTCTATTAAACAATACAGTAGAACAGGCTGGAGAGATGATTCAGTGGTTACAAGCACTGGCTGCTCTTGCAGAGGACCCAGCATCCACACGGCAGTTAATTACTACCTTTCATAACTCCAGTTCCAGGGGATCCAACGTCTTCTGACCTCTGTAGGCACTGCATGACACAGGTGCACTTACATGCAGGCAATACACTTATACACATAAAATAAAAATAAGATAAAATATAGGGAAGGATCTGCGTAAGTTATATGCAAATACTGTACAATTTTATATATGAGACCTGAGCGTCCATGAATTTTGGTGTCTATGGGGAACTCTGATGCTTAATGTTGCCTGAGCTCCATTTTTAACCCAAAAGAAAAGTCTAGAAGCTGGGATAGAGACATATGACCTGCAAAGAAAATATTTACTGTCCTGCCTTTTGTAGAAAACACAATTTTTGCCCATCCCTAGGATAGAACATAAAGTTCTGAAAAGTTCCCAAGCTGTGTACTTTGAGTAAACTCTTGCAAGTTAGAACAAAGAAACACCATTGCTGTTAAAATGTTTTATTAGTCTGTAGCCACTTACCCCAGCTTCAAACTGTGTCTCTTATCTGGAACTATCTTTAGCTACTGTTCTAGTTACAGACTTTGGTTTTGAAGTGTAGCTACGTTACCCACTTTTTGAAATTGTGAGTGTGTGTGTGTGTGTGTGTGTGTGTGTGTGTAGAGGCTAGAAATCAACGTAAGATATCTTCTCCACATTATGTTTTCATTTCTATTCTAAAAGTTTATTGTATGTGTGTGTGAATGTGGGCACATGTGCCACAGTGCACATGCGGAGGTCAGAAGACAGCTTTCAGGAGTAGGTCCTCTCCATTCACTCTGTGGGTTCCATGAATCAAAATCAAGTCATTATGTCAGGATTGGCAGCAAATACCTTTACCCACTAAGCATCTTACTCTCCCTCACCTTATTTATTTAATTTTGTTTTTGTCTTTTTTCGACAGAGTCTCCCTGTAGTCACAGCTAGCGTAGAACTTGCCATATAGACCAGGCTGGCCTACATCTCACTGAGATCTGCCTGCCTCTGCCTCCTGAGTGCTGAGATTAAAGGCGTGCACCACCATGCCAGGATTTTATTTTTTGAGGCAAGGTTTCTGAGTCTAAAGCACACAGGTGTGGCTAGACTGACTGGCCATCAGTCAGTGCTGGGATTCCAGACACTGCTGGCCTCAGCTTCTTATATACATTTATGTGAGATAACTTAGGTCTCCATGCTTGTGCTACAAGCACTCTAGCAACAGAGGCATTTTGCCAGCCTCCCACTTTTCTAAGAGAAAAAAGTTATCCTAGTACTAAAACTGCATAAACAGTTTATACCATTATAGTACTATATTTTCACCTTGATTGGGCATCAACAGTGTGAGAATACAAACTCAGGTCCCTGACCTAGCACTGATCACTAATTTGGAGTCATTTGAGCAGGGAAATCTTCCCCATTTTTTCCAGATGGGCTTCACTCCTGAGTTTCAGGTTAAAGTCAGAGTCCTGAATCTTCTGCCATAGTCTGCATTAAGTGGCAGCAGTTTGAGGGGTGAGCTTGTCTTCCATATTAGCTTAGCCTTTAATACAAGTCTAGCATCCTAAAGGAATGAATGAATAAGTGGATGAAACATTTTCCTGTTAATAAGGGGCAGACACTTAGTAACCTGACCTGATGTTGAATAGCAGAGATCTCCAACAGTCCTAATGAGGGACCACAGAGGTTGACTTGTAGACAAGAAGCCTACTGTCCTCTTCTGGTGAGTAAAGCTATTTGCACCCAGCTTTCAGATGAATCTTGCTGTTATTCTTCCCGAGTTGCATGCTGTTTGCTCCATTTTCTAGCTTCCCAGCCCTATCATCCTGTGCCCTTTCCCACTGGCTGCTCTGTCATGTGGTCCCCCCTGAATGCAGAGGTTATCCTCTTTGGCCCTGACTATCCCTCCATGCAGGAATCCCTAGAGACCATGGAATCTGGATGTGAGGTCTAATTCCCAACCTGGCACAGCATTTGGAGTCGAAAAGCTTGAGTTTGGATTCTCAGTTCATCTATCTGTGGGCTGCACAGTTCTCTGAATATACATTAAAATTTTTTTTTTAATTTAAGTGTTTTATTTATTATTTTTATATTATGTGTATGAGTGTACTGCCTGCATGTAAGTAAGTGCACCCGTGTCATGCAATGCCTGTGTGCCTGTGGAGGTCAGAAGAGGATGTTAGATCCCCTGGAAATGGAGTTGCAAATGGTTGTTATCTGCCATGTGGGTGTTAGTTATCAAACCTGGGCCCTCTGCAAGAACAGCCAGTGCTCTTAACTGCTGAGCCATCATCTCTTTAGCCCCAGGAATGCACATTTTATGGTGTTGCAAAATGTGGTTTATAAATTGCCACAACTCCTACAGACTTCTACAGTGCCCACTTTGCCTTAAAAAAAGAAAGAATAAAGAAACAAAACTCCTGCAAACATGAAATCTTAACCTAACTACACATTGTTGAGAATGGACAATCTTTGTTATTGAGTATGAGTGAAGACAGGGCGAAAACAAAATGAAAATTGCACCTGAATTTTGCTTTCCAAGTCCTGCTAGTTTGGGTTCCTTGTGTTTCATAGCCTAAGGAACCACACACCTTCAGGTCTAGAATAGAGTACCACCTCCGGGTCGCTCTACCTTTCAGTGTTTTGGTAAGCAGTACATAATGTCTTTTTCTTTCTTTAGACATCCACATATCTTCTACACATGACACTGGGGCAGCAGGCTTCCCTTTCCGCGAGGCTTGGATGAGCGGTGTTCTGCCAGACAGCTCAGAACACATTTGAATGTGGTGCTGTCAGATAACCAACTGGGTCTTCAAAGTCTGACCTGGAACATGGCAGTGGAATGAAGGTATTTAAATTCACTGTCTACCGAAGATGTAGAACAATATACAAATAATATAAAAATAGAAAATGCTAGTCTAACAAAATTAGATTCTATGATGAGAGCTAGGTGCTGCTCTTGCAGAGGACCCGAGTTCCTGAGTTCGATTCTCATTACCCACATTAGGCTGCAGACAATTGTCTGTAACTCTAGCTAGCTCGGGGGGTGGGGGAGGGGAGTCCAACACCTCTGACATCTGTGGGCACCTGCACTGATGTGCACATAAGCACATACATAACATAATTAAAAATAAATATTAAAAAATAAGCAATTAAAAATTTTGTGTAAAAGTAAAACCTAGTATGATGGATGAGCCAATTTTGAAACTATCCAGCCACTGCCCTTGGATACGCATATTTCTGTTTCATTCAGAAGGACCTTTATGTACCTAGCTCTCATCAGAGAATATAATTTTTGTGTTCTCTGAGGCTTCTCTGAACTTTCTAGTGGAAGAGCCCTGCCAGACTTGGGATGAGGTTAGTCAGACTGCTATTTTCTGTGAGTCTCGGCTAACTGGCTATGGTCACTGTTTGTGCATCTGTGTTCCTAGTCCTTATGTATGCAGTGCTCAGCAACTTAACTCAGGCTTACTTGAGATAGAAATTCATTAATGTTATTCCCTCAGCAATTTCCCCATGGCTAAAAAGTGATTTTGAATGGGAAGGTTGTTGGAGAATTTGCAAGGGCTAAGTGGAACTTGTATTGAAAGCCAATGTTGTCTGTCTGGGGAAGTTTCCTTGGAAGTTTCTGGTTCAACTTTGACAACTCTTCATCCAGGAGGAAAAATGGAGGTGCTGTCCTGCCTGGAAGATACCAGGTACCCTGGTTATATTCTATGGCTGTGAATGGCTGTGATAAAAAACATTGACCAAAACCAACTTAGGGAGGAAAGAGTTTATTATATCTTACAACTCCCAAGTCACAGTTCATCTCTAATGGAAGTTGGGGAAGGAACTTAGGGCAAGACCCTACGGGCTGAAATTGAAGTGCAGACCATGGAGGAGCACTGCTTACTGGCTTGCTCCCTCTGGCCTGTGCCTCGCTTGCTTTCTTGTACAGCCCAGGACCACCTGCTCAGGGCTGGCACCACCCAAAGTGGACTGGGCCCTCCCATGTCACTCAGTCAAGAAAATGTTTCACAGGCCAATCCAATAGAAGAAATTCCCAATTGAGGTTCTCTCTTCCAGGTGGGTTAAGTTGACAACTAACGCCATCCAGCACACCAGGCCAGTAGGATAAAGCAAATTAGGAGGGCAGTGATAGGTAGAGAATGTTGGAGAGAGTGGGAGCGAGTGGTGGAGAGCACGAGCGGATGGAGGAGGCACCGAGGCACAGATGGAATTCTCAGTGGGATACAGATTTATTTTGCACGGGGCACCTTTCCCTCGGGGAAAGGAAAGATGTCAGTGAAGGGAAAGATGGAAGGGAAGGGAAGGGAAGGGAAGGGAAGGGAAAGATGTAAAGATGTCAGGGAAAGATGTCCGGGAAGGGAAAGATGTCAGCCCACGGGTTGTGAGCTGGGACTTTATATATGGGGGCTTTAGGGTGTGGAAGGGGGAATGTTTGGGGGAGAAATCATGGAGGGGGAAGCAGGTAGGATTAGGGTGTGGAAGTGTTTACTTTTTCCCTCTTAAGATGAGAGAAAAACAGCTTCTAAAATCTCTGGTTATCAGGTAGAATCTGCTTATCTTATCTTTGGAGGTCAAAGGAAAGGCAGGCTGCTTCTCAGCAGAGTTTGTTTCCTTCGACTCCAAAGGTCAAGGTGAGGTCCCTCTTGGGGAAGGGGGAAACTGCTGCTATTTGGAACCCTAACAAGAGTTATGTAGCTTTAGTTGTCAACTTGACACAACTGGAATGAAGGAACCTCAGTTGGGAAATTGTACTAAAAACAGCCTGAGCACAGGGCAGAGGGAGTAAGCCAGTCCAGTCCACTGAGTTTCTCTGTAGTCTCTGCTTTAGTTTCTGCCTCTAAGTAAGTTCCTGCCCGGAGTTCCTGCCCGGCTTCTCTCAATGATGAGCAGTAATTAGGATGTGTAAGCCAAATAAACTGTCTCTTCCCCAAGCTTTTTTAAATCAAGAATGTTTTATCACAGCAATAAAGAAAGAAACTAAAAGAAAACAAATAACAACAAATGCTGGTGAGGATGTGGACAGAGGGAACTCTTACATACTAGTAGTTGGAATGTAACTATTCCAATGACAATGGAGATTCCTTAAGAAGGTAATA